TGTCACACATCGCCTCCCCCTTTCACTCTCACATGGCACTCCAACACAGTGTGCAGTGGTTTTCTCTGAGCCACAGAAGATGTTTGTCTAATCGTTGGTAGTAGAATCCCACTGTAAATGGTAGGATATAGCAACATGTAAATTCAGCAGCACTTTGCTTTCACAAACAGTGAAACATAGTCCAAAAGTTGGACTATGTTCAACTTTTACCGCCACTTAGAGGAAGCTCAAAGAAAGATGAGCTTTTTGGACGTGATGTTAGCAAAGCTAGCTGTACAGCAGTGGTGTCCAAAGTCGGACCTCGAGGTCCAGCATTCTGCATGTTTTAGTTCTCTCCCTGGTGGTAGTAACAACCTTTTCAGCATGTCAATGTTCCTCTTAGACCTTCTAATGAGCCATTATTTGATCCAGGTGCGTTAAACCAGAGAGAACTAAAACATGCAGGATGCCGGCCCTCAAGAACTGACTTTGGACACCCCTGCTGTATAGGGACAAATTGCATTTGCTATGAAAAAAATGTTGTCATTCACTGCGCTGAATTATTGTGCGGAGTTGTTGACTGACATGTCACATATATGGGACAATGCTGTGACCAAAGTCTGCAATACAGTGATATGACATTCACAAACGATCCAATTCTTGTGAATGGCTCTTTACGAAGAACAATAGGACTGGATCTTCACAGAGAGCCGTTCTTTGTTCTTGTAATGCTCTGCATACACTGCAGCAGCTATTATTATTTTATTTAATTATATACATTGAATTAGCAAATAAATAAAACACAAGAATGGAAGAGCACACAGAGCATGCTCTTTGCTCTTTGTTTTTGTCACCTGTCATGGTGGCAGACATTACTGCACTGTGCTGCCTGGCTACATGCAGCGGGAGGGAGGGAGCGTGCCTTGTACTTGGTTACTTTACTTCTTGCTTCTTGCTCCTTGGTCAGTGTTCATAGTTGAGTTTATAGTTTACCGTTAAGGCATTGACTTAATTGCTATGTTTAATGTAGCAGACAGTGGTGGTTTCTGACATGGGCGATATGGGCAACTGCCCAGGGCGTTATATTTTTAGGGATGGCACAAGACCTCCATGGATTGTGGCACAGAGATGGAAACAAAGCAGAATTAAGAGTTTGAATTGATAATGATATTGGTTAAATTTATTTCAGATATTATCTGGGTGTTCTTATGAGACTGTGGATCTTTCAGATCAATTTAAGAAGCAGTTTTGATCATATTTCAAATTTTATTGTACGAGGCGCCGGTCTTGATCTTGACTTGGTCTTGGACCATAAAAGTCTTGGGGCATGAGCGGAGTTCATGTGCATCTGTGAACTATTGACAGGGACAACAGCTGAATTCTACAGTCTACTCTTTTTAAGAGTTTCCAGTCATCTAAGTACATTTGAAGATGACTTTATGAAAGTCTTCTGGGCTGACTGGCCTGCTCTGCTGACAGACGTGTTGGTGGCAGTGCAGTGGAGTTGTATCTGGATCGAACAAGCTCCACTTGTGCATAATTACTGAGCCTCTCCATGTCTAACGCCTGCAGGTGGGATACTGACAGCAGCACTCCTCCCCCACTGTCAGGCTGCTCACTAGGAGTAATGAGGCGCACCACACACATACACACATTCAGCACAAAGCCTATTGTTGTGTGTGTTTGTGTTAAGCTAAACGGTGTTTCTCTGGCTGTTAGACTGAGGAGCATAGAGGGTAACACAGAAGAAGCAGCATAAAATACTAAAGATGTTGGTGCAAGATGAATTGCAGCATCACTGCTTTTGTATACATGCTCAGATAAAAAAAGACTGCTGAATTGAAAATGTTATTTTATTTGTCAAATAAGCAAGAGGAGAAATGGGAATATGTTAATTGAGATTAGGGATGGCAGCCAGAGAAGAGAGACAAAGGTATCATGTTGAGTTTGGTGGAGTCGTGGTGGGTACCAGCACCTGTGTGTTTGAGTGTTTGTGCCCTGTGTGCGCACACATACACACACATTCTCCTGTGGAGCAACCCACCAGGCAGAATACAACACTTAAACTCAGGCTCTTCAGACCCATACAGAATAATGGCTGCAATTTGGCACCTGATGAAGCTTAGTGTAAACAAACAATTTCACATGCCTCCATTAACTTTAATAGTACAACCCCCAGCTATGCTGCTGAAGGAGCAGCAAGGTGTTTAAAAAGACAACGGCTTTAAAATAATCTACACACATAGCTGGAAACAGAGAGGAAAACAGAATTTTCTCCTACAAAAACCCACCTTGCTTTGAATGTCATTTAGATGTGGCTCCATTAATTGTAAACCTGTGTTAATTTTGACCCACACATTTCCATCTAAGCCTACACTTCATTTATACACTCAACAGAAACAACTAGAAATATATGAAATGTCATGAAACATGGAAAAAAAAACGCAACAAACAGAAGCTTGATCTTTTTGTATGAACTATATAAGTTTTACACAGTTTTAGCTGCATTATTATTATGTGTGTACAGGTGTGAAAAATAATCTTAGTTTGTGAAGATGTGGCGCTTTGCCTTACTATGAAAATAAATCTAAAGTACTTCACCCTACTTCACCTACATAGAAGTATGTACATATAGGTGAGGTGCAGATTGAATCAGTCAGCTTTGGCACTGAAGAATGCTGAGTTCTTTGCTCTTCCCCTGAACCTTGTGAACAGACAGGCAGATTGTCTTTGAAAGCGATGGTATTTGAGTGTTTATATTTTTTATAAGAATGTATTCCTGTTTTAGTCATAGCGGGACCCATATTAACTAATGTCATCAGGAACTGTAGATGCGGGTAACATATCATGTGTCCATTGGAAAAAATACAATTCTTAAGACTATAGGTACACAAGCTAGGTTTGGCAGAAACATGGGGAGAGATTACAGTTATAGTGAAACACACGTATTTTATGTGTGGTTGTGAAAGAGAGAAGGGTAGTGGGATTTATTTGACCCCAACAGCCTCTGTGTGCTCTTTCTGCAGGTTACTGGACAGAGGAACAGATCCTCCTAATTCCATTGGTCACTGCTTTGGTTTACTCTGTGGAGATGCTTGTTGTTCTGGTCAATCCACACACTGTGCGCTGACCACAGAGGTGATGGGTACAAGGTGGCTGATAAAGAACAATGGGAGCAATTTAACAATATTTTGAAGCAACAAACAATGTCCGTGCTTTTTATCTGACAGTTTTTATTAAAAAAATATATCTATTTTACCATCAAATAAATCATAAATAGATAGAGAAATGCACAACCTTCACCAGTAGAGTGCACCTATTTCTGATTGGAAAGTTGGTCATTACTTGGTTTACAGTGCAACTTAATTGATCTTCATATCTGTAGCAGTATAAATAGTAACACTAACAAAAGCGTGTCTCTACCTGGCCTGATGCTGCCTCCTTCTGCTGCTAAGTAGTGATGTGCAGATTGAAAGTATATCTCTCAATTTGCTTCTTTGCTACTTCTGATACCAGACTTTTATGCTTTAAGATCAATTCTCAAATCCAAGTATCAATACTTGCAACACTTCAGTCATTTTAAACAATGTATCTTAAAAGGAACACATTAGAAAGTAATTATTGAGATCTTGCCTAAATGAGACAGGGTTGATGGGAACTACTTTTTCTTCCACCTGGTAAGTGTATAATGCGTAAGGACGTAATGTCCAAGCGCAGCGTACTGCTGCTCAGTCACTTACACATCTAGATACAATGGCAGATCATAAAAGAAGTCACACATGGAGCTACTTCAGCTTTCATTTTATAGAAGTTCTTAATGATTAAACAAGGATTTATCTCAGTAGGGTAATTACTTCAATACTTTTTCTAGTTTGCAACATTTTCACAGTTTTGTGTGATTTTCTGCTGTTACTAAAATAGCCTAGCTATGGGGCTGCTAAGTCAATGTACTTCTGAGTTTTAAATGAATACATTAAAGTGATGTGTGTTCTTTTTATGAAGTCAAGATTTCAAGTACAACACTTTTTTTTTAGATTTAACAGGCAAATTAAGTGTTTTTGCACAAAGTATCAGCATTAGATCTCAGAATTGGAGCGGAATGGAAATCTGTAATATCAGATCACTACTGCTAGCTGACCTAGGGATAGTATGGCAGTTTTTATGTCAGACGTTTGTATTAACAGTTGTCGCTACTGTGAACTGTGGTCTGATGTTCAGTGTAGCCTCTCCTTTGCCGAGTCTCTGGGCTATAAGGACCGATCTTGTAGTCCAGATCAGTCCTATGAGCTCATACAGCGCTCTGTATGAGCTGCACGGCTTAATTTATTTACTGACCTGTTTATATGGCAGTCCTGTAACCTACCAATTGACAGGGAGGCAATAGAATGTAAATTCTTTTTCGGGATGAATAGCAATCTGCTTCATTTTAGCCAATGAGGAAGGTCATACCGCTGTTAATCATGTTTGTGTATTTGTGGCTCACATACACCCCCTTGCTCTGTGCTACGCCACAGCTAGTTCCCCAGAACAAAGCCTATGGTGAATTCTAAGGCTAGTTAGCATGAGCACATTGAGCAGCATATAGATGAGGTTGATGCTCCTCCTTGCTCTGGTTGTTTTTGACTGGGAGTGGTGTATTCCTCCAGATGCCAATTCCACCACTGGGAGAAGCAGAGGAGCTTGATTTGTTTCACAGATTTTCTGCCTCACACTATCCTGTCACATAGTCACTCCTTGTCATTTCTGTTATTCCTTGCGCAAAATGTTGAATACATTCACGCTGTTTCCAAATATCAACTAGACAGTTCTCTGTGGAGCTAAAACATCTCAATATTCATGAATGCACAGGACAAGATTCACACTTGCATTTTTGATGCAAACAAAAATATATTTGATTTACAAGCTTCTTCTGCCCTGTGAGTTGCGCTGCACTTGTGTGTGAATTTTGAGACTCCCGTGACGACTCAATCCACAAATGGCTTTTTTTTTTCTTTTTTTTTTTACAGGGAATAATAGGCAACTAATCAGATAGCTTCCTTGTTTCAGCCAATCATATGACCAGGCCCCATGTTGGGGTAACGAATCACATTAACCCATTCCAACAGCGCTATAGCCATGAGGAAGGACAGTTAACGCAACCTTGCTTTTGTCTGTGACAGCAAAGGGGTAACTACTTATCTTAACATATTTAGCTACATGTTCCATTGTTCTGATTCTTAATATTAGTTGATTTAATTTAACTGTGGTGGACTGGCGACCTGTCCGTGGTGTACCCCATCTCTTGCCCTTTGACAGTTGGAGATAGGCACCAGCACTCTTCCTGACCCCAATGGGATAAGGGTGTAAGAAAATGGATGGATGATTTAATTGTGCAACAATCAACACAAGCTAGCGACTTAAGTGAGTGAGCTATGCTACAGAGCTATGCTAGCACAATTGTGAATCTTGTTCTCTGCATTTGTGAATATTGAGACTGTTTTATCTCCATACAACCGGACCCGATCAGTCTTATCACACCACACATGGTAGAATTATCGCTTACGATGATCTTAAGCAGCAATCATAGAATGTGTTCTAAGATTGTCAAAAAGCAAAATCGGGACAAAATCAGCATAAAAATCCTGTCATGTGAACTAGGATTTACACTACAAGAAAGCACCAAATTAATCCTGTGGGATATTTTGGACAACAAAGTCTACATTACATTGTGTCAAAGTAAAAGTGATCTGAGACCTAAATATGACAAAAATACACATGCTTTCCAAAATGCTTCACTGCTGTTCTGAATAATGCTGCTGCTCTCTTCTGACAGTCAACCAAGCAGCCATCGGTAAGCTAAGAGCCAATGCAGTAAAGCAAGAGGAAACATATAAACATGTCTATACTGTATCTAGGTTAACTTTGTCTAGCCAATCTGCTCTGGTTTCTCGATCCCTAATCTCTTCCCCTGCTTTAACACAGTGGGAGGTAGAGCACATAATACCAGGAGAGGCTTTTCCTTCTACCGGGTGTGAACAATAAATACAACAAATGCGATGACCGTAACAGAAATAATCATATGTTATCAAAAACAAAATGTTATCAGTTGATTATTTTATTGAATACTAATCACATTATTTCCTTTTCTCTGCTTTGTGAAAGATTTTTGTTTTTTTATTTAAAATTACATTAAACTTCTAATATTGAAATGCTGGCTTTGGAACCTGCAAAGGTAGAGCAAATGATTTCAACACCTTTGTCCCTGGTAGGATTCGCATTTAGCAGAAATCTAAATAACTGCTTTTCTACCTGAATACTGATAGTGAAATGTCAACAGAAGAGCACATAAAATTCTAATTCAGTATCTGAAACAATAGCTTCATAATATTTAAATCATCACCGTGACATCAGTAAAATCAGGAAACTATGCTTTGGTTGGTTTTTCTTGACAGTTGCTTCAGAATCTTACTGATTGTGCCACTGTTCAGTGGCAGTTGTTCTACTTTCCTTGTGTACATGTATGAGGACAACAAAGGCTTTGAATTTTGATTAACTGATTGGAATAAAAAGTATTTTTAACAAGTGTAGAATTATGGGTGGTATCATCTTAGACCAACAGCACAAGCTTAAAAGAGGACAGTGGGCCACTGGCTGAATACTGGGCTTGTCCCAAAGATATAAATATTTTCAACATTAAACTTATAAAGCAAAATAAAATACATTAGTAAC